TGTAAATAATTTATTCAGTATAGCAAAACAAAATGTCAATCTCAGCCCATATTTATTAATTTGTTAGTAAATAATGCCCATTATTTTAGGCGAATATTATTTGTGTGTTGTCATAGTAGGTTTACATTGAAACATGTTGTTAAATAATTGAAATTCATAATTCTAGAAAATGATCATAGTTCTATTTGCAAGTGTGAAATTTTGCAGACACTCACTAAGGTAACATTTATTAGGTTAAATTCACTTGGTATTGTTTACTTGAATCTTACCATTGACGTTTAGGAGAGCAATTGATCAGTTTATTGTTGGCATAGGTGCATACTGTGCTTATTACCTTGATATCAGGACTCAGTAGCTAAGTGGATAACGTGATGGCGTGTGAAGCGAACGGTACTGGGTTCGAGTACCAGAGTGAACATCAACTGTGAGATGTAGGTACATCCAGCTGATGAGTTTTAAATAGGACGAAACACTCGTCCTGGATTCCATTACTAGCCATCAACCATCTTTGCTTATTTATTAGGTTAATGGTTTTCGAAATCATAGTCATTAATTCCAGTGATGTTGTATTATATACTCCAAGTCAAAATACAGAAATAGTATTTGACTAATTGTTAGTCGATTTGAGTTGACTAGATAATCAAACAATTAAATATAGAACCCTAATAAAAGAAAAAATATCATGTACAACTAACTGATTCATCTTTATATAAAATTTCATTCTACTTGAAGATTATTATCAACAAAATTCAAAAAATGAAGCTACAGCAACCACATATCTGTATTCTGTAGATACTTGATCTTTATCATCACTCATACTTATTGCCATATAAAAGAGGAAATAGATTCATAACTGTTAATCAGCCATACAAAGAATAATGGGTGACTGATTCCTAGAATAATCATTTGATTTATATTTAAGATTCATCTGCCGTACACATCTGATATCTTCCTGATCATAAAATGTGAGATGTAGTATTCAAAGACTTAAATATTCTGTATACTTGATCGCTATCAATATCATTCTAGTTGAATTATCTTGAAAGGTGTTACAACACATATAATGTTGGTAAGTGTTATGTAATTTGTGCTTATTTAAAAACCTTATTTTACAACAAATGATAGATACCATGATCAACTAGTGAATTAAAAACTAAATTAAATAATTATAAGGTTAGTAGAAATGTCTAAGTATTCAATTAGATATCGTTCTTTCAGTGTTATTCTATGCTGAGATCATAGGGTTAGTAATAGTCAGGTTAGATACAGGGTATTAGGGAATGATAGTAAATCAGTTGATGAGGTTGTGAATCTTCATTGGCTGAGATGGTTGCGCCACGTGTTGTGTATTCCTGAGTTAACTGTTTCTATGAATCCGGTGTTCGTCTTGCTTTGCTAATGAGGTATGGCAACTTAGACCGATGCATGTATGTGCCTGATCCTACGTTGTAACTGACTAACTGGCTGTTATTCTGTAAAAATAATGAAAGATTGACAATAAATCGATACAACATTTAATGAATTAACTCAGCAAAAACTATTTACGTGGAAAAATTAAAAAAAAACACCTTTCTATTTATAGATGACCAGTGTTACGTAATAGGTTACGTAGTAGGTTTTTGTATTCAAAGGTGAAACTTAATTGATGGTGAATTTTAAAGTTTCCAAAAGGTGAAATTATGAAAGTATAAGAAAGATTGGTTGAAATTTGATAGATAACTTTCAAAGCTACTTTAGTATCAATTGTGTAACTAGGTATCAGTCAAAAGTGAGGGAAAAGTATTCCTTGTTATTTCTCTTCATTCTTTTCTCACTCATAAAAAATGATGTTCAAAAGTGTTATAATAATCTTCGCTTCCCACAATGTAAATAGCTCTGTGAAATCAGTCGAATTGGTAAATACAAAATCACTGATAATTCAAATTATCTTAGATGGTGGTTGGAGGTAGTCTACAGGAAACCCTGGACCCACATTTCGTGCTACTGGGCACTCGTCATCAGGGTGTACCTGTAATTTTGAGAGAACTGGTGCTGCCTGACGGATTTGATCCCGTGTCACCCAGCTTCACAGTCAGAGACGTTACCACTGAGTTATCCAGACCGCGACTGACCAAAAATAATCTTTTCTGAGATTTCGTCAGTATAAATTATTTCATTTTTATGAATCAAGTATTGAAATATATTTCACTTATACTATTGTTGAATAAAGATCTAGAAATGAGTATACTAATATTTTACTGTTGGTCAATGATAGAGACTTCTTTTCATGGCTTTATCTGATGTTACATTGTAAAATTGAATGATTGATGGATTTTTCTGCACTTGTCCTGTAACCTTTTTGCACTTTAAAGTTATGGATATGTAACGACATTATTCTAGCTGACAACAATTTTGAAATAGATGTTCTCCAATAGTGGGAGTAAAGTGTACTCCGGTATTCAACTTAGCGATGGCACCAAAAAGATATCTCTAAAACTACCTTTAATAAAGTACTCAATGAGATCTTTGTGAAGTGATTTAAAATGTTCGACTAACCATTTCATACATGAGCTGCAGGGGAAATTTAGCATAAAGAGAACTGAACAAGTTACCTAAACATTTGTATATACTTTTAGTAGACCATGAATCCAGATATCACAACGTCTAAGAGTCTTGGAAGACTGAATAGGTTTGTTTTGAGTTTCTCAGAGACCATGCTAATTCTCTCTCAATGTTAGTTGATAATTTCTAAAATTTGCTACGCTTACTCACTTCTATTTTTCCTCGTGAAGCATAGGGAGACGACAAAAATTCTTCAACCAACTCAGTCAAGGCCTCTCCTTTCTAAATGCTACCAAGTACTATTTATTCTTTTGATCCCTGTTTCCAATTCTGGACGCAATGTGTTCTTTGATCTACCCCTTTTCTTTTAGCCTTAACGATTCCATGTTAGGGCTTGCTTTATGATGTAGTTTGATAATTTCCATAAAATGTGTCCTATATTATATCCAGAGTCTTTTCATAAAAAGTTTGCCACGGTCACTAAGTAGTATGTTCATCTTGTCCATATAATATAGGTTATCTATGATAATTCCTAATTAACCCTTGTTAAGATAAGTATCCATTAAATAGTAATCCATTTCATGTATATTTAGTCTTTGGTATTAAACAAATCTTTGGGATTAAGTTGCTGAGTAGCTACTATTCAAAGTGACTCTACACTGAATGTATTATGGTCAGCTGTCAGTTGACTGAAGAAAGCTGATTGGACGTCTTGAAGTTAGATTTCATACTGATTGTCACTTGTCAGTAAGCACCATCTGTAGTCGTGAAAAAGTTGATAATTTTTAAAGGATTTGAAACTGTAACATCCAGTTTCAAAAGTACAGAATTTACTTTATTGGTTGATACTAACCTCTTGTCAAACCAAGATATTTACACTGACCTATAACTGTATTGTAACGACTGTCATATTTGTTTAATCTAACCACTCAACATGAAAAAATAAAACACTCTATGCTGAGTTACTCAAACTATTTGTTAGTTAACCGTGATCGGTAGAATCTGATTAACACCAAGGGATTAGACAAACACTAGGTTAGTGACTAATCTGTGTTAATTGGTTCTTGTTCTAGCTAGTCTCAGATTATTTTGCTTTAAGTAAATATAATTCACATTAAGTCTAAGAAAAACTAATCTCAAGAGTGATAATTGGGCGTAGAAAATAATTTCGAAATATCGAAACCTCTAACTGACTATCTAGGTTAGTACTATTGAAAGCAGTAGACTTTCAGAAATAATAATCAATGTGGTATATATATATATATATATATATATATATATATATATATATATATATATATATATATATATATATATATATATATATATATATATATATATATATACTTTCCCTGTAAAAGTAATGATATTCTACAATGATCAAGATCGAACAGTTTGAAGTTGTGTTTAAAATTCTAGTTAAAATAAATTTCAGTTGGTCTTTTAATTTGAGGTTCTCGTTGTTGATATTATTTGGTCAACACACTAGAACAACTGGTTGTAGATAATTCTTTACAAAAAATGATTTGTTAACAAATAACATCAGTATGTTTTACTAATCAATATTGACAAAGGTTATAGATCCTTTCCCTGAGTTTCCATTGAGCTCTATTATAGGTGTGACAAAACAGAAGATTTCGAAGATGGATAGTGACTAGCATCCTATTTGAGACTCGTCATCTGGATGTACCTACATCTCACAGTTGTTTTTCACTCTGGTACTTGTGCAATGGGATCAAGTTATATTCACTTGTGCTTTTACTTGTATCTTCCCATTGCACAAGCAGATGGCTACCAGGACTCAGTGGCTAAGTAGATAACGCGATGGCGTGTGAAGCGAACGGTGTTGGGTTATAGTCCTAGAATGAACATCAACTCCGGGATTCAGGAACATCCAGCCGACGAGTCCCAAAATAAGACAAAACGTGCGTCAAACTGGATTCCACTTCTAGCTACTATCAATGTTTGCTTATAAAGCTTGTGACTTCAGGCAATATCAAGGCAGTTACGCACAGGATGCATATATGTCAACAAGAGGCTAATCAATTGCAGTCTTAAATTCATTTCGACCATATATGTGTTGTTAATAGTGTCACAATGAAAACTCAATGCCACCATGTAACATATTTCCTTGAAATGATGAATATTCAGATGTTAGTCTTTTGTTCAGAATATAATCCAGAATTAGTCAATACTTCAGTTAAATTTTGATTAATTCCTGAGGATGGAATAGTATAAGGGACGCTTTTTATTCAGTAAGGTGAATGCAATTAATGAAGCTATGAAGTGCTTTCGAATAATCAACTGACGGAATTAAAACATCTGATTATTTCAATAAACCCATTTTCATTTAATTTCACTTTACGGTATCTTAAGTCTATTTAAATGATTTAACATAAAAAGGTATATCAATAAAGTTGTGACTTTATCTTTTTCACTAATTTATTCTGTAATCATAGTACGAACACAATCAATTATCATCTATGGCATCTATAATCAATGTTAGAGAACTTGTTGAACAAATGAAACATCTTCTTCAAGATTTAAAAGCATGCCCGGTAACGGATAAATTGATTACTAATGAAGAGAAGTAAGTCAATTGTATATGTTCTTTTATCATTTAACTAATGTATAAAACAAAGAAAATCATCCATTGAAATCATCTTGTGTATGAAAAAAATAATTTTGCCTTTTAATGAATAATAAATTAAATTGTAGTCAAGGGATATTTTAGCGGGATAGTTACATTCAAATTGTCATAAAGTCTAATTCTAATCAATTAGTTTGTTTGTTGTATTATAAGATTAAAATGTAAATAAAATACAATTACCTTCAACTGGCTTATAGAATCGAAACTTGTCTATCGAATGAATATTGTTGTCAAACAATAGGTAATAAATGATATGAAGTGAACTAGATAATTACGATTGTCATTTAAGTATGTAATAAAATTTAATATATTGAATTTATTTTAACTTATCCTTCAACTGCAGCAATTTAGATGACCTTCCCGGTTTCCTACATTGTATGAGCATTTCACGTATCTAAATTAATGGTTGTTCTGGTTGTCAGAAGGGGTATCAGCCTCTTGACTTCTGAAGAAACTCGGCTTTCACTATAGAGTGTCATAACTCTTCTAAATGAAGACCTAACTAACAGGAAGAGTTTAAATGCTTTGGATTATTATTTTCTGGCTAGCGTTTTTTATCGAGTTAGTTTTCTACGGGATGGGGTTGTTAGCCCAATGCCCAGCCCTTCCCGTTTATCCGGGCTTATGACCGGCAGTAGCCCCAGAGGGGCTCCGGGCAGAGTTAGATCATTCAACTGGAAATTAACATTAGTCAAATAAATCACCATTTCAGTGACTTATTCAGTACAGTGTTTTATCAGTTACGTTAGTTATTAAATTAAATATTTTGTACATAAGTAATAAACTTTATTTTCTTCAGATACTTCTACTCACCTCGATAAAAATTCTTATTTATTGTGAAATCTACTTGGCGGAAATTTCAATCCCGGTTTTTAGTGCAAAATCGGTGAGACTATAATTTATAGACGACCTTTGAGCGACGTTAAAGTGACCTCGAGTATGTTCGCCTAATAACTAGTACCAAATGAGGATTATAAACCAGTGTGAGGAATTCGAATCATGATTTACAGTTGGTAGTTAGGGTTAGGAGTTAGATTTAGGGTTTTCATGACGAACTGACATCAGCTATAATGCCAAAACTCTATTTAGCCAAATAGGTGTGTGAATTTCGTGCTAAAACCCGAGACCTATTATCTTTTACCTTGTTGGTTCATCCATAAGTTATAGTCTCGCCGCAAAATACCTATTAAGCTAAATCAGTTCAATGATCATTTTATCCTCTATCATCTCAATACTATTTCAGTCAATTCTTCTGTTATAGTGAAAACTATTGGTCAGTCTAGTCATAAGGGGGTAGTCTTCTTAGCTTCGTTCATTGACTTTGTATGAACAAGTGGTCTAAGAAGCTAATTTAAATTATCTTAAACGAAATTCCAAGTCTGTAGATATATTTGTTGATTTCTTAGTTTGGACTAATTCAATTATATAACTAATTTTACATTATCTACCTAGCCAATTAGCTAGTACATCGAAATGCGAATCTGTTTATCTGCCTACTTGACTGAATAATCACTCTATTCCCGCCATTTTAGAATAACAACAAGATCGACACAAAATAAAACTCCTTAAAGACATTTAGGAGCTATCCATAAAATAGAAATTTCATCTACTCTCAAACAGCTCGCTAGTCACGTTATGTGTTTAAGTGAACATCGAATACTAACATAGGGATCCCAAAAACTTTATACTATGTTGAATGGTTTAGGGTCAACAATATCAGATATTTCGAAAAACGCCCATCATTAATATTAAATTATAATCATTTTATATTCATTGAAGTTGATAAATATGAACCAGTTGATTGCGGATTGTCTATTTCATAAATGTTTTGATTGAGATCATGAGTTAATTGAAGCTAGACCACCATGGAATACCTGGATGGCCATTTTGTCCTATTGTGAGACTTCTCAGCAGTGCGCACCAACAATCCCTCTGTCGAGATTCCAACCCAGAACTTATCGGTCAGGCGCGCGAACGCTTATCCTCTAGACCACTGAGTGTTGATTAAACTACTTTCCTTAATCTGTGAGGCGAGATATTGGATGCGCACTGCTTAGGAGTCCTACATTAGGATGAAACGATCGTCCTGTGCTTCCGAATTTTCAATGATGATCTAACATCACTCAGTTCATGATCTCAATCAAAATCTTAATAATCTCAACAACCCCTATACTGATATTTCATGAAACTTAAAAATTTTAAAGTTGATTTCTGTATAAATCCATATAATGAACACTACCTAATAGTTCCAAATAAAATAAAAAGAACTTCTTTTTTTAAATCTTCTTTGACTTTCACTACTTTTGTTAAGTTGAATATTAAAAAAAAATATCGATTTAGTATTTACTCAATGTATTATAATGATTTTTCTAACCTTTACCATCTAAACATGATTCATATAAAATGTCATTTAATTACCTAGTAACTATTTATATCTTAATTATAATGAATGTATAAATAATACTAAAATTTGGAAACAATTAATAAGATTTTTATTGTAATAAAAATCATTATAAATAAACAGTTCAAATATAGTTCAATTGTAAATTATTGAACAGTTGATCATTGGTATTGTTGATGTGGTGGTGGTTGAATCAGATCAATAACATTGTAATCTATATATATCTATACGATTGTATTGATCTTTTACAGAGAGAGCCAATATTAAATTGATTAATTTGTGATTAGTTCAATTAAAGATCTTCATAATTGATGAAATGTTTATGGTCAGAACTCAAGTGATTTATTAAATAATTTGGGAATTTGAGGAGAAATTCAAAGAAGTGATACAAAAAACTTCGTTGAAAATTATGATCTACAATTTATATAGTTTTGAAAGTTTCACAATAACAGTACATAAATATCGTTTTTCATTGAGATCATGAATCAATTGATGCTAGATCATCAATGAAAACCTAGAATAACTGGACGGCTGTCTCTTCCCATTGTAGACCTCCTCAGCAGTGCGCATCCACAATCACACTCTCAGGATTCAAACACAGGACCTTCGATTTTACGCGCGAACGCTTAACCTTTAGACCACTGAACCGGTATCTGACAGTGCTAATGTCTAACCTCAAACAATCCACGGAATCGCGCGACCGTCTTTCATTGTCTGAGGTAGATAAAGTCTCTACCTAGCACAGATTAATCCTACTTGTCACGACTTCGCACTAGAACTCGGAGAATTACCTGACGAAGCTAGTCACTAATGAGCACAGGGTAATTATTAGTATAGTGTTGCGGCCATGGTTTCGAATCTTGCGAACAAGATCATGGATTCAATTATTCTAAATTTAACATCAAAAGGGGTTTTTGTGGATATTATAGTAATTTTAATAGTTGAGATCACGATTCAATGAAAGCTAGACCACCATGGAAAACCAGGAAGCACTGGACGGCCATTTCATCCTTTTGTAGGTTTAGAGGTTAAGTGTTCGCGCGCGAGACTGATAGGTCCTGGGTCCCAATCTCGCGAGGCGGGATCCTGGGTGTGCACTGTTGAGGAGTCCCACAGTAGGACCAAATGACCTTCCAGTTGTTCCAGGTTTTCAACGGTGGTCTTGCTTCAATGAACTCATGATCTCAATTATTAAAATATCATTTTGTTAACAAGCTTGCTTACTTAGGTTGATAGAGTGATATCTAGATATCCTATATAAGAGATGTAACAAATTATTCATCACCTACGTCAATTATGATGATAAACTTTTAATGTTTCTTTAGATTTGTATAATTTGAATTAAATTTATGACTGTACAACTGACGAACGGAATCATCACTTTAACACTTTTTCGATCGACTATATAACTCAGCATTGTGTAACATACATATTACATATATGACCTGAGTTCGTGTTTTCCAATAAGTAATTTAATATATATTGATAAAACTTTATTGGCAAGTAATTTCTATGTAGATGAACTGAAATTATATTGTAGTTATTAAATTGTTGAGTTGTATTTCATTAGTTAAAAGCTTATCAGGTTTATGGCTTCAATTGTTTTTTTTTAGGGATGATTATTCAAGATTTCAACATATATATCAAACAAGATTAAAATAGGTGTTCATGTTACCTCGGTTTGTAAAGTTGTTTTTATTTTATTTTTCACTAATGTTAGTAATTAATAAAAACAATTTCATTTTTTTTATTATCTAAATCCTAAACCCAATGATACTATTTTTGACATGGTGGAAAAGATTTGTATCATAGGTGGATGATATTTTTGTTTAAGTGTTGTTCTCTGAGTTGGATGGTTTGGTCGTGCAGCAGTCATCGTTTTTTTGAACGACATCAGCACAAACTTCAAGTAGAAGTGAAATGCTCGCATTTCTCCATATATAATTCACAGTTTGTCCTATAGACCTCGATGTTGATTGGTTTTTTGTTGACCCTAAACCTATCATCCTTTACTTCTTTGTTTTGGTTGTATCTCCCATTGGTTTGATTTTTGTTCCTATGTTTATCCATAAGTTTTCTGATTGGTTGATAAATTGGATCGATTTCAATGTGCTTGTTTATTGCTGATTGACCTGAGAGCCAAACTTCAAAAAATTCTCTGGTGTTTTTGGAATTGCCTTTATCCAAAATTTCCACACTTTTCCAGTCGAATGTGAGTCCGCAGTTGTTCACATACATTGATATAAGTGAGGACATGTCATGTCGTTTGACTGCTAATAGATATTCGTGAAGGCGAAGATAAAGAGGGCGTCTGCTTTGTCCGATGTAATGTTTTTCGCAGTTGGCACAATTTATTTTGTAGATGATGTTCGATTTTTCTTCTCTTGTCATTTCATCCTTTGGTTTACAGCTCAGCAACATAACTCCATCAAGATACTATTTTTCCTTGTAAAGTGAGAAAAATAATCATATTCTGTTGAAGTGTTTTAAGCCAACTGTCGAATACTATCCTAAAGACCTCAAATTAGATCTTTTAATTTATAATCTTAGCTAATAAAGCTCTAACATGTAAAGTACATAGTTCTTATATTTCAATAAAACTTACTTACTTACGCCCATTACTCCTCGTGGACGTGCATAGGCCGACCACCAGCATAATCTGGTTGCCGCTTTTTTTTGGATTGGGTTGCCGACCTCATGCCCAAATCTCCTCCTTTAACTGGGCTTAGGTCCGGCAGTAATTCCAAACGACCTACAAGCGGAGTTTATTTCAATAGAAGATGTATCATAAATCACAATGAAGAGTTATGAACAAAACAAAACACTCGAATTGAAAACGAATATCACAAAAACAATTTTCAAATGTGATGTTTCAAAATGAAATTATTTTGCAAATTGTTTAATTGGCATAATTATCGATAATTTTCAAATTATAAATATTTGGATAGAATTACTAGGCACACCCATTATGTGTAGGAAGGTTAAAGCAATTCATTTTTAGTCTAATTCCATTTATAAACATGATAGTATTTCACGGTTTTGTAAGTAAAAGTAGCCATGTCTACAAGTAGAGTTATTGTATACTTATTAACGCATGTGACCCCCGATGGAGCATAGGCCGCGGGCAATCATTCTTCAACACATTCTGTCCTAAGCATCCCTTTCAAGTTCTAACCAATTGTTGTTCATTCTTCTCATGTCTGTCTCCATTTCTCGTCGTCATGTGTTCTTTGGTCTCCCTCTTCTCTTTTGGTCTTGAGGTTGACAGTTGAGGGCTTGCCTCCTGAGGTTGTGCGAGGTGCTTTCCTCAATGTGTATCTTATCCATTTACAGCGCTTCATCCTGATTTCTTCCTCCTCTGGAATCTCATTTCTTCTCTCCCACAGTAGATTATTGTTGTTGATAGTTTCTAACCGACGGACCCGAAATATTTTGCATAGACAGCTGTTAATAAATACTTGTATATTCTAGATGATGGCTTTCGTAGTTCTTCAAGTTTCCACCCCATATAGTAGAACTGTCTTGACATTTGTATTGAAAGTTCTGACTTTAGTGTTGGTTGACAGACAGATTTTTTGTGTTCCAAATGTTCTTCAGTTGTAGTTATACTGCTGTTGCTTCGCCGATTCGAGCCTTCACATCTGAATCAGATCCACCGTGTTCATCAATGATAATGGCCAGATATGTAAATGTTTTAACATCTTCCGAATCTTCTCCGTCAATTGTGATTCGATTGGTATATGTTGTGTTGTATCGGAGAATCTTGCTTTTCACTTTGTGCATGTTGAGACCTACTGCTGCTGAGGTTGCTGCTACACTGGTCCTCTTCTGTCTTTGTTGTTACGTATGTGATAGAAGACTCAGATCATTTGCAAAGTTTAGACCGTTCAGCTGCATCCTAGCTGTCCACTGTATCCCATGCTTCTCCCCAGATGTTGACGTTTTTATGATCCAGTCGATCACCAGGAGAAAGAGACAGGGTGAGCGTGAGCAAACTTGCCTGACACCGGTCTTTATTCCAAAAGAGTCTGTGAGCTGTCCCCCAAGCACGATTCTACAGTTTAATCCAGATATAATAAAGTTGTCTTTATTTGTAAGGGTACTCGATAAATTGGTGTATGTGTAAATTTATTCATTTTAAGAGTCATTTTCTACAATCATTGATCAAACTAGGGAAGTAAAAGACAAATAATTTTAATGCCTATTTGTATACTCAATAAGATTTAAATTTCAAACTGATGGTTATTGAGTTGATTTTTATTGTCATGTAAACGATATTATATACAATCGCACAAAAGAGTTCATACGCAAACTAACTTCTTTATTCAGAAGGTTTTTCAAGGGAGTACTTCTTATGAAGATCAGTTTTTAATCATTTTAATACCGATATATGACTTGTACGGCTAGCACTGTAGCTAATCTGGTTAGATAGCAAACATAGATAATGTTTGATTATTGTCCTTCGTTACGAACTAATTACATTTGGAAAATACTGGATGTTATATTTTAAATAAATAGTCGAACAGTTGTTTATTTTTTTTAAAGAAAGCTTATGAATTATATAAGGTTGAAATCGAGCTCTGTTGAATAACTCTGTCAAAGACAAAACAGTGTTTGGATAATTTTTTTCTAAGTAGATGTTAAGCGATTATAAACTAGTTCATAAACCTCTTTGTTGAGAAATGATGAATTCTGAGGCTTACTGACTTATTTAATGGGCTAACAGTTTGTTCAACATCAAAGAGCTAATAAGTTTGTAATGGAGCCCAAAAAAGATTTGAAATTCCATTTAAGACAGTTGTTTCTAGGCATTCTGGAATTTTAAGGTGATTGCTGTTCAACAACACCTTCAATTATTGAACGAGATAGGTCTTATAAGAGTTCCTTGTTGAATAATTATGTGGCGAAATGTTATAATTTCATCCTGTAGTTTTTATTTTAATGCACCTTCGTCTTGATCCTTTGTAATATCCAGCGTTGTGAAGCAGATTAATCTTCTGTATTACAGATAGTGTGTTTATCTTCACACCAAGTAAACCTACAGTTATGAAGTTAGGAGATAATAAAATCCTACCTGTCTCTCATTCTTGTGATTGAAAAGAATTTAGTTATTAGAAGCAAATTAGTAGTGGCTATTTGCAGCCATCAATGATGCATAGCAATGTTCACACCATATTTCTGATTTTAAAAATTTCGATATCAAAAATTTATAACTCATTTCAAAGTTAACATCCTTACTAAGTGATAGTAATGTTGACGGAATGAAGAAGAATCAAGATATGGAGAGAAATCCTAATCACAAAATTAGGAAATTTCTCGATTTCTTTGTCTCTGTGATTATTCATATGATGGCAGCAATTGTTTTGAAACTCGTAATAATGCGAAAATCAAATACAAATGTTTGGTCCCGTTTCATAGTGTAAGTAAAACATAATTTGAAATATCTTTCTTGTCTATAATTAGATTGATAGCACTGATAACATATTTTCATCTAGTTTTTAACCCATTGAAAAATAGTCTTTATAAATGGAAAAAAAAACAATAATGTTGCTAAGTGTAAACAGATTTTATGAATTTGATGAAACTATTAAAATTTTTTATACTGTTTGTAAATCGAAAGAACCTACGACACATTGATTACTCCATAAACATACTGATAATTACCATGTGCTCATTAGTGACTAGCTTCGTCAGGTAATTCTCCGAGTTCTAGTGCGAAGTCGTGACAAGTAGGATTAATCTGTGCTAGGTAGAGACAGTTATCTACCTCAGACAATGAAAGATGGTCGCGCGATTCCGTGGATAGTTTGAGGTTAGACATTAGCACTGTCAGATACCGGTTCAGTGGTCTAAAGGTTAAGCGTTCGCGCGTAAAATCGAAGGTCCTGTGTTTGAATCCTGTGAGTGTGATTGTGGATGCGCACTGCTGAGGAGGTCTACAATGGGAAGAGACAGCCGTCCAGTTATTCTAGGTTTTCATTGATGATCTAGCATCAATTGATTCATGATCTCAATCAAAAACTAAACGATCTCTTCAACCCTATACTGAAATTCATTGTCCATCTGCACGAATCCTTGAAAAGACCAAAATGGATTTTAAATCACTAAATTATTCTTGTTTAAAGTTAGAGCAAAAGGCTTAGACTTAGAGTTTTCATTACCAACTGACACTAACTGTAATGCGTAAAAAAATTGTTTAACACTATCTTTGTTACTCTATAATGGTTAAATGTGACTTTTCGTTTTCAATTGATACATTCTCGGAACCATCCAAAGATAGTTTGCTTTTGTTTTCTTAATTCTGGTCGTTTTATCTCTATAATATACTTAAGAAGAAAATTCTTAACAAAGGCGACATCTTTTAATAGTTTTGTTTGAAATGCTTGCAGAAATAAAACAGTTTGATTGAAAACATTAGTCTTAAAAGATAATAAACACTATGTTGTTAAAGGCATTTAACATTTAAAAACGAGAATGTCCAGAATGTAGTTCACATATACTTCGTATTGTAACTAAGCTATTTATTGGCATAACACAAAGCTAATACCATAATATAACATTGAAATGAACAAATGTATATGACTAATAATGATAGTATGATCTATGTACTTTGGTTCAGTAGCATCTAACAGTATGTTAATACATAAATGTTCAACTTAAATGACACTATTGTTTTACTGAATAAATATCAAATAAGTAATTTTATGACAATAACATAGAATAGATGACTAAAGGGAATTACACTAAAGTTGAATTAGAATAGAGTCAAATTTGTTATAATCATTTAAAATGATCATATTATTTAATCTATGGAATAAGATTTGAAAATTATCGCTTATGTTTTTTTTTTGTTTTTTTTTAATAAGTTTAATATGCAATTCTTGTTATTCTTATGAAGATCACAAATGTAAACTTGCTTTGATTAGTTACACAAATTATACTCATAGTTAAAACCATATTAGATCATGTATTATTTGTATGTTTTAACTTTTTCTATTAGTATTATACGATTCCTTAAAGCACGTAGTTGGAATTTGCAATCTGCAGAGAAAATGATACGTAAAGATATACAATGGCGTCAAGAATTTCGACCAGATTTAACAGATTGTAAAAATTGTCATAATCAACCAGGTACTCATAGTTTAGTAAGTTTCATTGCTCATTCACTTTTTTTTTAAAAAAAAAGTCACTTGTCAGTTTAATATAGTTCACTTATCAAGGAGTTACATGGTTTTATTTTATTTATTTATTTGAACACATAAATATTGACACAAAAAGGCACCGAATATATATACGCCACATAAATCATTCGATTTGTGTGAGGGCCGGGATACTGTCCGTGTGAGAAACCGAAACAGGTTGTTTTCTTAGAGGGCCACACCCGAGGCCTTTGACCTAAAGGTTTCATCCACAAGGCAGTGGAGCAACGTAAGGAGATGCAGTCCAATGGTAGCCAGTGACCAATGATTTTTTATACGCCATTTGTTCTTTCAGGATACTGGAGCCTATGTGCACTATCGGTTTGGAATGAGCGTTTTTCAACTCCCCTAGGTGGATCCTCTATATCCATCAACCCGGTTAAAGCGTTGGACATTCACTTTTCGTCCTCCCAATTTCATTATCAAGTCCGTCGATGAGAGAATGCAGTGTTAGGACTTCCTTGTCAGAGCCTATATTAGGCGTGACCATGCGAGAGCAGTTCAAGGGGAGGGATAGCCCCCCATACTCTCGGCCGTACCAGGGCATTTAGGGGCACAAAAGCTGGCGACGACTAGTATTCCCACTCGGCCACCCATGCAAGTACTGACTGGGCCAAACTTTGCTAAACTGCGGTGATTGGACGAGAACCGGTGCGCATATATATCTGGTGCCCCCTTGTATCAATATTTATGTGTTGAAATAAATAAATAAATCGTAAGCTTAATGACTTTGTATTTCAGTAAAGATGACTTTTAAGAAAGACTCTTACTAAGTATTCATAGATTAAATAATCAGAAAAATGTATACCTAATGTCAATATACGCTAACAGTTATACATAGTAATTTAATATCTTCGTATACCATGTTTAAATATAATAATGTATGTACATTTATGCTTTTTATAGAGACAGATAGGATTTGATGAAGCTGGGCGTCCAATTATATATGCATCATTTTCTCAAGCTATTTCAAATAGAAATATGTCAAATGATGCAGTAACTCATTTAATATATACAATTGAAAATGCAATCAAAAGTATGAAGTCTGGTGTTACACAATGGGTTTTTGTAATTGATTGCACTGGTAAGTTAATGAAAAATTTATCATTTCTTGTAAATAATTTTGGATTGATAAAACATTACTTTAAATAATGTAACCATATTCTATTGTTACTAGTTACAGTTAAACTTGGACCATAAGTTATAGTTTCAAACACTAACTTAATTGTTGACATTATTGCGCTTATTCCCAAGCTTTATAATAATTATACTCTTTCAGTGATTATAGGCTCCATCCTTCGTAACTATTTTCACAGTTAGAACATTAAGCAATAAATTTCACCAAATTTAGTGAATATTTGCTTGCTACAAACAATATTTTAACTAACTATTCTAAGACCATATCTAAATTTAAGGTTAAATACATTTTAGTGAATGATTCACTAAAAATTAATAAAAGTGTGATTTCAGTTCTTAATGTTAATCAGAAGTGTTTGATTAGTTGTTTTATGAACTGTACGTATTGCCTTGATATTGCCTTATGGACATATGTCAATAAGAGACTGGTTTATTGCAGTGCTAAACATCAATGGGAAAATTCAAACAAATAATACCAAATGAATTTAAACTTCATCCCATTGCACAAGCAAATAGCTATCAGGATTCAGTAGCTAAGTGGATAACCCGATGGCATTTGAAATGAACGGTACTGTGTTCGAGTTTCAGAGTGAACATCAACTGTGAGATGCAAGTACATCCAGCTAATGAGTCCTAAAATAGGATGAAACGCGCGTCCTGGATTCCACTACTAGCCACTATCCATCTTTGTTTATGATATTTAATTTACATTTCAAAATCAAACATTGATTGAAGGATAATATTTATGTAAATATATTGAAACTATAGAACATTCTTAATTATTCATCGAGGATTCTCTCTTAAAGTATATTATATTTACAAAAATTGATTTACTTAACAAACCCTATTCATAAATATTTTCTCTCGTTTCTTTTAAATCAAAAGTTTTATTTGTGAAAAGATTTTAAAAAAAATTGTTAAACACAACACCAAATTGTCTTTATAATCAAATACCGATTGTTTACATCATTCTAGGGGTTTTTTCCTTAATTACTTTAACTTTAAATCCTATATTATCTTCAAAAGATTTAATTATTAAGCACTAAATAGTATTTCCAATGTCTTCGTTACCTTAAGATCGTTACTAAAAATTACCGAATTTACCTACCCATCTCTCAATTATTCGTAATAATTGTAATTCGTTTTCAATTACTAAAATACACTTGACTTCATGAGTAATCTTAAACAGTGAAATAATTTTGATCTCATGTTAGATATTCACTATGTTGAATGATTATTCATGAAGAGCATCTAACTGACTCGACTATCCAAATTCGTACCAGATCTTTAATGTTATGAATGTTTATTAAATTCATATTGTATTGTAAAGATAAAAATTAAGAGTCATATTGATGTAAATTCTTAGTAATAGTCTATTTGTAAATAGGGGAATCTCACAAAAATAATATAAAAGGATATTGATTTATTTATTTATTAAAAATGGCTATATATATATATATATATATATATATAGAAGTTGTATATAAAGATATTCAATTGAATGAACATAAATATTGTTTGTTTATATGAACTTGAGTGTGCTCAACTAAATACCTTGAAAGGAGATTATTACTAATCATTTGCTAATTTCTGAGTAGTGTAAAAGACTTTTGTTTTTGTTTTTTATGTGATGATAAAATAAAACATTCAATACATTAAAAAGTATGTAAATGGTTGAATTTACAATAAGAATAAAATTTCTTTATTATATTCATGATTATTAACATGAGATTCCATGACATTCACGTTTTTCAAAAAGTGTACCACATGAATTCCCACCATGCATTGGAGGTTTTTCAATATATCTCCAACGCATTTGTAAACCTTTTTGATGTGAACATGATACTGAACATGGACTCCAACCACTCCATGTAGTCATTACACAATCTTGTTTATGACCTGATATATCATCTAATTTTTGATGTTCTATTTCATTCAATGAATCAAAATCATTTTTATCATCCACTGATTTTGTTATAGAGATAACGGTATGATTATTTGTTGCATTATTTTTTATCATAGAAGTGTCATTTGTGTATTTACGCATGCTGGCCATACGTGCTTTAATGATTTGTCGTAACTTCTCCATTTCTAACGGGAGACAGTCAGATAAGCACTCATGATATGTTTCAAAGTTGTTTTCATTTCCACCACAACCACGGTATTCAAAATCACGACATCTTCGTAGGCGGGGACAAAAATACCTAGGAACAAATCAGTAAATAATCGTTGGTATTGGGATTAAGAATTATTTTCAAGTGTTGAACCAAGTTTTTAATTTATTTCAAAGTACCCCTAGTTAATAAACCTACATTACTTTAGTAATAGAACTGATCAGAAGCAGATGCAGCTGTTTATCATGCAATGAAATGTACTGACATGAGTAATAAAATACAGAATCTTGACCCAATAACTTAATGGTAATATGTACACTGGAATACCAGAATTGGCAAACTTTAAACTCATTTGTATTTGAGTGTAGACGCTAAACTATATCGAAATTGATATTGAATGCATCAAGCCGAAAAAAGGACTCTTAATGTACTTTTATTTTTAATGAGATCACTTCACATATTTATATTAGTTCTAAGAAATATTCACTCTTCCCCATCTCCACATTCTTCTATGCAATCATATCATTTGAGTAGTTAAATGAAACGTCAAGAGATGATGTCTGGTTAACAGACTGATGGAATGTGGTGGACAAATTACCCCAGGGTTTTATATTAAAATATCCAGGACTAATGATGTGTTATCTGATAAGAGTTAGTTTTTGATAGCCTTCAGTGATTAGTAGAGGAATAAAGATACTCAACTAAGACCAGACTACCTCAAGGCACAATATAACCGATCATTTGCTTAAATTAACATGATACTATTCATCCGGTTATGATAATAGGGATCTCATTTAAAATGATATATAACTGATAAAAAATATAAAAATAACAAACTTGATCTTTATTAGAATAATTTATTCGAAATCCTTTCCAGTTTAATTACAATTAAGTAAACTTAAATAGTCTTGAATGTTACCGTAAGTTTGAATTACCCGTCATCTCAATCTTTTAATTGACTGTATTCAACAAGGGACTAGTGATTACATACTATATAAATCAGATTTACACTTATTACTTTCGATTACAAAGCCTTGATCTTAGTCATACTATAAGTTGTGTAGTAAAATTATTATACTTCGTCAGAAACACTACATGTAATGTAAGTCATAATCTTCCACTATGAAGCATGATATTATTTATGGATGTTTTAATGTTTCAAAGCTTTAAAAAAATAAACCAGTTTCCCGGTTACATCACTGAGATTCCTCAGGCAACAAGGAATAGTAGACTTTGACCGAAAACATTGTTACCTAATAGCCCTGAATTTTACTGAATTCACTGTTGTTTAGTTATTTAACCTTGTTGGTGTATTAATACATGTTAACATCAGTTGAAAAAGCATCGAAAACTTTAATATAATAAAGACCCTCTTTGTTTGCTCTTTTCATGTATCGGTCTGAATGACAATATGTCTCTTAGTAATAACTTATTCTCAAGATAAAAGTTTTACAGTCCTGTTGAAACATAGTTTTTTGTAAACTCAGATAGATTAAACTTGATAAAAGAAAGCTAACGAAAATGTAAACCTTCTTAGGCTATTAACATGAACTGAGAAGATCTAGGTTAAAAAAAAACAACTATTTACTGCTTAATTTCAAAGCCAAAACATCGACTAAATAATAAATAAAATTATAACTTACCATCTATTCTGTGGTGGGTTATCATCCATGCAAGTATAACCAGGATCCATTAACTGAAAACAATGTTTAGCTGGAGAAATCGATTGATTTTTAAGATCACTACTGTCTGTGGCTAATTGAGCTGTTTGAAATTGTAATATAGCCATCCGTTCTCTTCGCCATTTAGGTAATGCTTCAGAAGCTGGAATGCATAAACCTTCGCAAGCTTGTTTTGTAGGAAATCGATTACGACCACCTTTACATCCTAAATATTTGAATGGTAAACATTCATGTTCAACAGCACTATAATAGTATGCTGAAACGTTTTGGCCACATTCTACACCATCTTTTCTACCCTCTGAACATATTGTAACTGGATCACAGTCTGTATCTTTTGGCTGACATTCCCTCAATTCTCTTAACATGCCTTTGTTTAACTCGGTTTCACTTTGAAATATGTGTTCGCAATAATTCATTTCTGATGAGCGGGCTAAATAACGTGTACGTGTTTGCCAGCCATGCGGTTGATCGCAAGTAGCATTACATGGGGTCCAAGCAGTCCATGGTAATAAGCTGCACATAGCACTGAAATCACATGTGCGTTTTATACCTTCACATGACTATATAATTTAAGAAAGAAGAAGTTAATAAAAATTTATAGAGTTCATAGATTTCCACTAGTATTGCATTCATGCTGATAATTTTAAGCAATACAATTAACAAATACATTAGAAGTTGAAGTTTAGTTACGGTGTAATAAACATATTCGACTTTAATATTCATCGAAGTTATGTATATTCCACATGTAAACATTTTTCGGCTTCTTATATTTTTTAAAATTAAAATATTCATGGTTATTTCATTCTTCTAGTGTAATCAACAAAAGTAAATGACGCATTTAATTAGTGCACTTTTAAATGATGTTCTTTATTATATGGTTTATATGTTAATTCGGACTACATTGGCGCATAATTACATTCTAGCCCTAATGAAACAAACGGAAAATTTTTTTAAAATGAATTACAGTTGATTACTTACTAACTGACTTCTTTTACCCCTCGTGGGGTAGCATCTGCCTCCCACAACGATCCTCCAATCAACTCTGTCCTATTCTCTAATTTCCAATTTTTGCCAAGTTCTATCCGTTCTTTTGATGTCTGTGTCAGATTCCCGACGCTGTGTCCATTTTTTGCCTCTTTTATTTTTTATTT